TTCATTTTTCCTGTTCTCACACAGTTCTGTTTAATTTCCTATATTTTTAAAGGATTTCTACCTTATTGAAATTGGGAAGTTTTGAGTTTTCTTTTCATTCAAATTTCCTAGGCTATACCATAATGTGTATTCTTAAATTTTTAGTATGATATCTTTTTATAGATTATGATTTTTTTTGACTATTTCATTTTTTATTGTGTTTTCTTCTTTCTTATTGTCCTTCCTATAAAATAGAGAAGTGATGCTATGTAGAATGTGTATGGTTACGGGGAAAGTAATTTCTAGAATGATAAAATATTTTTGTCAGAAATATTCATTTTGATACATGGAATCATGAAATTTTATGGTACACAGCATCTAGTTCAACACTTCTGTTTCCAGATGAGGAAATTGAGACCCCCCCCCAGCAGGTTAAATAACTAGTCTAAAGTTACTTATATATTTTATAATAGAAAAACATCTTGATTTTCTGTCCTTTGCTCTTTCCATTATACTATCCTTTTCCCGGCTGTTAAGCTGAAAAGTTAGGAATAGAAAACTGTACGTTGACTGACAGGTGCTACTCTCCCTTTTTATACTATTCTGTTTGTATTAAATGTTTAGAAAGGTGATGAAAATATAGAAAGAATGACCTGTGACTATATATGAGGGAACTTAATTTATGTCTCTTCAGATGAGCATAAGTGCATAGTTTTAATTTAAACATTTTTACTCATAAAAACATTAACTAGTCTATTATCGTACTATAAAAATGAGCATAACTTTGAATACTTTTGTTTAAATGACGTATTTTATTAGGACACCTGCCAAGTCACTGAATGGCAGTCTTTCTTGCATGAGGCTACAAAGATTTTTTTGGTAATATATGCAGCAGAGTATTAAGAAGCAAGTATTCAGCAAACCTTTGTCTGAGGACCTACTGTATGCCAAGTAGTACTGCTCTTTTTATATGAAGTTTCTCATTATAACTAAGTTCTGGCAGTAAACAGTGCTTGTTGACAAACGTGCCTGCATCAGCTCTTGCCCTTTTCTCTTGCCCTCCTCATCATGCGAGAGGAGCCCTTCTCCTGCCCAAGGCCAGTCCCCAGACGTATTGTCTGCATCCCACCCCCTCTGACATTCTCCGGGGTGGGTCCCCTCTGGTGCTATCACTCACACCCTGTTAGATCTTTGACTTTTTCTCTTCACTGGTTCTTTTCTATCAGCATCAAAGCATGTGTATAAGTCTCTCATGGGTTAAAATGAAATCCTTCCTCCACCCCGTATCCCCATCAAGCTGCCACCCTAATGTTCTCTACTTAATTACTAAAATATTTGAAATTAATTCTCTGTATTCCCTGCCTCCCATAGTAATCTGCTTTCCACCCCCACCTTTTCACTGAAACTACACTTACCAATGTTATCAGTGACTTCATTGTCGCTTCTTGTTAATTTTTATTGTACCTGACCTCTGCCGCATTGGATGTGGTTGAGCAATTCCCTCTTAAAAATATTTTCCCTTGGTGTGGTTTCAGTGATAACATGATCTCCTTTGCGTCTCTCTCTGTCGATCTTGTCGTCTCCTTTGCCTGCCTCCCTTCCTCTCCTGTACCTACGGTGGTCCCTAGAGTTCCAGACTCAGCTCTCTTCCCTTCCTACTCTGCCCTCTCTCCCTGAATGGCCTCATCCATTCCCATGGCCTCAGTGACCATCTACATGCTGAGGACTTTCACATTTGTATTTCTAGCCCTGACCTCTGCTTTGAGTTCTAGGTCTCTATATCTGTCTGCCTACTGGCATTTCCAAATGAGGGACTTTCAGGCTCCTCCACCTCAAAATGTCCAAAACTAGATTATCATCTCCCTCACTGTCTTACCACCACCAGCAGAATGCATAAATGAAAGATAATCTTTTGTGTTTAAATGTTTTCTATTGAATGATGGTACTGTCCACCCAGTTACTAAAGCCAAAAATACCTTTAGGGTGTGAGAGATTCATTTATCCTTACTATTGTCATTAAAAGTTACAACTTTATAGAGCTCATTTATCCTTGGAGTCTTAAAATATTTGTTTTTGCCTCAGTTCCCAAAGAATAATTTTCTTAGAAATCTATATCTTCTATAAAATAGATTAAGGAATATTCTCTACTTGTAAATTTGAGCATTATGTCTCTCTGGAGGGCAAATGTAAGTAGACTTAGAACTCCTTATATCTTGATAATAACAACTTCTGACATTTATTATTGATATCCACTATAAGCCAGGCACTGTTCAAAACACTATGTGTAATAATTCACTTGGTTTCCCAAAATTCCCATGAGGTATAGGTACTGTTATCATCCCTGTTTCACAGAAGAAGAAATGGAAATGCAGGGAGGTTAGGGAATGCATCCAGCATGACAGCTGGCAATAGGCAGAGGCAGGATTTGAACCCAGACAGACTGGCTCTGAATACAAGCTCTTAACCTCCCCCCAGTAATGTTGTCTAGCAAAACAGCTTGCATGCCTCATAGCAGTTTCTTTTTTAAATCACCGTTTCTAAAAAGTTAAAAATATTTTGAACTACCAAGACATGGCATAATTTTAAATATGTTCCTGGAGTATACATAATGCAAGTTATTTTTAGAAAATTAAGTAACGCAGTTGGCTAGTACAGTAACTAAGTAGTCATACGAAAATGGATCCATAATTTCCATTTTATTTTGTATTGCTTTTACTGTTTAAAGACATTTTAGATCTTCTTCGACTCTTTCAAAGCATAAACAATAGCCAAAGCAACATGGACCTTCTGTTAAGTCCTCTGCTTATGTATTTCACAACCAGCAACTTTATCATTTTATCTTAGAAATACTTGGCTTTCCACAGTATCAACACAAATCATATTCTGTTGCTTTGTTTCTTGAAAGTGGTTAAGCAACCGTATAAAACTCATAGGAAATTAATGACTCATATAACGGAAAGCATTTGCTAATGGGACTTTTGTCTCAGTTGCCAAGTAGTCTGAGTTTGTTTCCATGGTAACTCATCAGTATAACAAACTGTCACGAACTAACTGCCACTTTTTTTTGTTGTTTGTGTGTGATTTAGACAACCTTCTAACAGCTGTATGGGTGTGTATATACGTACATTAAAGATAATCACAAAAAATTTCTGAATAATTAATTGCCTTAGGCACAGAAAAAATACTTTGGAGAAATTGTTTAAGACTCCAGGGCTATTATTTTGACATTACAAAATCTAAAAGATTATTTCAATTAACATTCCTATTTCTACTTAAGTTCTTATTAGGAAAGGCCATAGTCAACAACTTTTTTAAGCTTGTGAATTTTTAAAATTCAGCTACACTATTGGTTCATCTGCAATATGTGTAATCATAGAAGAATCTGCCACAGACAAGGCAGGGAAAAGGAAATTAGGACCTCGTGCTGGATGGATGAGGAGTGAGTAGAGAAAGCCCACTCAGCCAGATCTTGCCAGCCCCTCCCTGGTGGCAGTACTCTAGGATGGGGAATGGCAAACACTCAGGTGTTCAGGGGATCAAGGCAGACAGAGTGTACAGAACACCAGGCTTTTACCTGAAGGCTGAGTTGGATAAGGTTCTTAGAGGAGGTAATGACTAAACAAAAGCATTCCGGTTACACTGGTGAATATGGGAAGTTGAGAGGGAGAATAGAGAGGATGTAAGGGAAAGAAAACAGTATGAACAAAGGCATACAAATGGGAAATAGTGTGATGTAAAATGGAGAATGACAAGCAGTCCGAGACAGAAAGGGTCAAGAGACGAGACTAAAGATAGGAGGGACCTAATCGTGGAGCTGCCATGTTAAGGAGGTTGGACCAAATCCTCTAAGACATGGGGAAGCAGTGAAGGATTTCAGACAGGAAACACATTATTAGATTTGTTTTTTAGAAGGCACTCTCTGGTAGCAGTGAGGAAGGTAGACTCGAGCAAGGACCATTAGGAGACTGTTGTCATATTTCAGGGAGGATCTGTTGAGGAACTGAATCAGGGTAGTGGTGCTAGACACAGGAAAGGGGTTGATTTAGGAATAGCTGTGAAGTAGTATAGGGAAGAATTGGTAACTGGGACTGTTCATTTGTGTTCCATGCATGACGTTTATTCATTCAGTCAACAAATACTGAATGGTTGACAATGTATTGTCCACAGTGTTAATGCCGAGCCCTCATTTTCTGCCTTCATCATTTCACCAATTTTCTCTTTATTTTCACCCATTGTCTTTCTTTTCTTCCTATTTTAGAGGAATAGTTATCCTTTCTAAGGCTAAGCCCCTATTCTTACATGGAACAGTAGAGGGAACAGCATGTACAAAGGCCCGGAAACTGAGAAGAGAAGAGTTGTAAGAAAAATAGAGATTTTCCTTTGTGAACAAGCAGGCTTTTGAGTTAAAAGTCCCTTGTTTGAATGTTAGTTCTTCTGCTTTCTATCTAAATGACACTGAGTTAACTTCCCTCCTTGTGCTTCATTTTCCTCATCTATAAAATGGATACCAGCTATTTCCTAGGGCTGTTGTGAGATTAAATAGCATATAGTAAGCTGTCAATAAATGGTAGCTGCTGTTGCCATTATGGCTGAAACAGGAGTAAAACTATGACAGCAGCTCATTTTAGAATAACTGTTTATGTTTCTGTCTCTTACACTAACTGTAAGCTGTAAGTCCTGTAGGATTAGGAGTGTTGTCATTCTCCTCTTCATTTTAAACATCTAGCATGTACCCGGCACACCTAAAATACACATTGAATGAACGAATAGTGAAGTTTCTATTTATATTGATTGAACCGATAAGTAAACTTAACTTGTTTTCAGTTTCTGTGGACAATTAAAACCTTCAAAATTTTTCAGGTCACATTGTTAAGAATTTGTTTCCTTTGTGTTTCACTGTTTCTGAATACTGGCTTTTAATATATCACTTTTGCATTGTAGACGAGTGAAACAGTGTGTGTGCTTTTTAAATGTCTCATAAATAATGGTTACTTAATGGGTTCTTTTTTTTTTTCCTTCAGGGAGGTGGTGCAAGCAAACTGTGTTCACTGGAGGAAGAAGTTCTCATTTATGTGCAAAATGAGTGCAAGTGCCACAACAGGCATCCTAGATCCTTGTATCTACAGAGTATCTGTGAGAAAGGTATGAAAATAGCCTCTTTCAGAAAACATCATTAGTTTCATAGTCACTGACTCACTTTATTTAACTCTGCTTTATCCTTAAAACTGTTATATGTAATTTTTCTTCACACTTGCAGCAAAAATTTTAATTGCCGTGACAAATATGATGAAGAATCCGAAGTTATAAATTAAGATATTATTGAAGAACCTTATCTCACTATTACTATACATATAAGTATTAACCTTACTTGTATTATTTCAAGGGCTCCATATGTCTCTATCCTGCTATTCATTAAATTCCTCTTTGGTAGGCACTGTTTTAGGGACTCCACATATATTGTGTATAATAAAAACTGTGAAAATAGGTGTTATTTTTTTCCATTTTCAGAAAAACTCAGGCTCAAAGAGGTTGTTACTTGCCTAAATTCACATAACTAATAAATGGCAAAGGACTCAAACATAAATCTTTCTAATTCCAAGTCCATGTTTTCTTTTTTATATATTTCCTTTTCACATTTTAGGTTGAGGCCTATTACTAATCTACAAAAACTGGCGATCTCAGATGGTTCAACCTAATCATATATAAATATGTGATCTTACCATTTGGGGTTAAAAAGAGGAATCCATTAGTCACCATCACTGGTGAATTAAACTACTGGCTTTAAAATGTAAGCTTTATGTTTTATATTTTATATACATTTTTTTAATTATCAAAATAAAACATACATGTTCAAAAATTAAATAGAGAAGGAATGAAAAGCAGGAATCTCTTGCCTTGTTCTTTTCCACTCCAGTTTTACATCCTTCTATATCAGATAAAAAGTTATCTTTTTAGTTTTCTTATTCTGCTTTTTGAGTGAACTGTTAGTACTATTATGTATATGGCTATATTTTCAATTATCTTACATTGTTTAACCTACTCAGTTAAAATAAAACAAATACATATATTTTTATACGTTTTAAGCCTCTAATGAAAATAGTCTAAAATCGTCATATTTGGAGCAGTAACAATTGAATAGACGCTTCTCTAAAGGAAGTATAATGCAGTGAAAGCGTACATGGCATCATACTCACCTGGGTTTGAAGCCCGGAAATACCACTTATTAACTGTGAGACCTTAGGCAGTTCTCCTGATTTTTTAAAAATTGGTTTCCTCATTCAAATAACAGTATAATAATTGCTTCTTTGAGAAGTTATAAGGATTAACTGAGATAATCAGGAAGAAGTCAGGATACTTTACTGAGAAGAAGTCAGTAAAGTATCCTGACTTCTTCCCTTCCTATCTTAATTGCTGCTGTGGCTCTTACATCAAAACCTTTTCTAAATGGAATTCTCATCATGATTTTTGAAAGATAATCAGTCTTTGAATTTTAAGAAAATACATGTAACCCGTTAGAAAAAGGGATATTGCTAATTAAAGAAACTCAGAGTCTACTATTATAAAAACTTTTTTTTTCTCTCTTTAAGGTAGGACTCATTCATCTGAAATAAACCAGTTCCTCAGATAATGATGATTTGGTGGATTAGTTAGAGCATATATGATAAGCTACTGAAGCAGATACCCAAATATACAATGACTCAAACAAGATAGAGGTTTATGTCTCCCTTGGGGAATAGCCACGGGTCCCAGGGCTGGCGGGGCAGCTCTGCCATCTTTGCCACATGGTGCCTGTCTTTAGATCCTGAGGAGTTGCTCTAGTCTTGTTATCTCTCAACCAGTGAGAAAGGAGAAAAAGCCATATGAGAATAAAAGTAAGAACTCATAAAGGAAAATTAGTAAACTCAACTATATAAACACATCCTGCACTGTAAAAAATACCTTAAGCAAAGTCATAAATTAGGGGAAAATAGCTGCAAATCATGTCAAAGGCCCATTTCCTTAGTATAGAAAGAGCATCTTCAAATAAAATATATATACTGATAGTGAGATCAGGTTCTTGAATAATATTTTAATTTCACTTCACACTTGCAGCAATAATGTAAATTACTACGACAAATATGATGAAGAATCTGAAGTTATAAAAGATAACAACCCAAGAGTAAAATAGGCAAGGGACAGAATATATATTTCACAAAAAGAAAAATATAAATAGCTTAAGCATATAAAAAGTTACTCAGGTCTCACTCATGTATATTAAAACTATAAATAAGATACCATTTTTTACCTATAAACTTGACAAAGATCAAAAAGTTTGACAATGTACTCTGTTGCCTAGGACACAGAGAAGTAGTCACTCACAAACAAATATGTGAGTTCCTACAGTGTGCCAGGCACAGTCGTAGGCACTAGAAAGACTGTGGTGAACTGGAATGAGTTCCGGCCCTCAAGGACTCTACTTTCTGGTTCCCGTGACATGGCTCTCTTCTCTCTTTGTGTCTTCACGTCATCTTCCCTCTGTGTGTATCTGTCTCTATATCCAAATTTCTCCTTTTTTATAAGGACACCAGTCAAATTGGATTAGGACCTCATTCTAACTAGACTACCCATACTAACACTCTATTTCCATATAGAGTCACATTCTGAGGTACCAGGGGTTAGGACTCCAACATATCTGTTTGCAGGAAAGGCCTACAATTCAATCTATAACAGGCCCTGAGATTCTAATAAACCTGGAGATTTATGCTTCTGAAATTAATGGGCTGGCTTATTACAGAAGACCCCTTCCTCTGAGAACAACCAAAAAGCTGGACAAAATATTAAAGGTAGCTGCTTGAAGGCATCAGAGCCAAGGCAGTAAGGACTTGAGCAGCTTAGAATTATAGTCAAGGGAAGTGTAAAGAGATGAGTCTGATGTTTCACATTTATTTTACTCTCAAAGCATTTGCTAATTTTCAAGTAGTGGTTAAGAAACTGAGCCAAAAGCAACAACTGAGAGAGGCTAAGAAGTTGAGCTGAGAGTCCAGCAATTTTACAGGACTAAAGGGACAAAAACTGAAGTCCAAGGCCCATCAGCAGCTTAGGGAATCCCCAAGCTTTTCACTGGGACTCCCTAAGAGTTTCAGCCTAGAAGGAGGAATGTAGCAGATGTAGATCAGCCCTTAGAAAGACTGAAACTCAGCTTCCAGTCAGCTCAGTCCCTGCTTGGATGAAGATGATCAGCCCCTACCCTACTATTTACCAGAGGCAAATGTATCTCTTTTCTGAAGAAAAGAACATTACTCTGAGCTTCAAATTATTGCTTCACATTGTCATGCACAAAAATTACCAAGCATACCAAGAGACATGACTGCATGACCAAAAATCAGAAGGAAAATAGATAATAAAAACAGATTCAGATGTTAAGAAGATCAGAAATAAACTTTTACAGTAACTGTAATTAGTGAACAATATGGGGAATTTTGTTAGAGAACTAGAAACTAAAAGAAAAGCAAATTGAATTCCAGAACAGAAAAATACAATAACTAAAGTGTAAAGCTAAATAAGTGAAAATAAATCTTATCAGATAGATTTAACAGCAGGTTTATCATAACTGAAGAGAGCTTTGGTAAACTGGAAAATAAGACAAAAGAAAATATCCAGAGTAAATCACAGAGAGAGAAATGATGGAATATACACAAAAGAGTGTAAGAAAGGAGAAATGGTTTAAAGGTCTCACACGTATGTGATTGGAGCCTGAGAAGGAGAGAGATTGTGGCTGAGAATCTTTTAAACCTGATGAAAATATCAAGCCACAGATTTAAATGTACTGTGAACCCCATTTATTTTAGGACAGTCAACAAATCTGGCATATTTAAATGACAGAAGACCAGCCTGGAAAACATGGAGAGGGAGCGTTCTTGGAGATTAGGTTGGAAGCACTAGATTAGGTAGGGCCTTATAGGCCACGGTGATGAGTTTAGATTTTATTCTAATTATAACTGGAATTCATTTGAAGATTTTAATAAGGAGAGACATGATCTTCTAAGGTCACTTTTGTTGCTATGTGGAGGATGCATTGCAGAGAGACCACTTAGGTGTTTGGGACAATTCAAGTGAGGAATGCTTGTTTTGGCATGGAGTTATAACAGTAGAGATAGTATGATTCAGGGTATATTTTGGGGGTAGACCCCTAGTGTGGGCTGGATGTGGCAAATGAGAGGAAAAGTAGAATCGAGGATAACTCTTACTGCTTTTGCCTGAGCTTATAGGTAGATGATTATGTTGTTTATTGAAATGGCAAAGATTCAAAGTGGAACAATTTGGGGGATGAATAAGCAGAGATCAATAGGCCTATTTTGACCATGTTAAATTTGAGGTATCTATGTGACATCAAGTAGAGATGTCAAGTAGGCAGTTTTAAATACCTACTGGTATTTTAAATAGTCTGCTATTTTAAATAGTCTGGCACTCAGGGGAGAATCTCAGACTAGAGATAGGGATTTGAGAGTCATCAGCATATGGTTTTTATTTAGAGCCTTGGACCTGAATTAGTCACCCAAGGAGAAAGTGTAGACAAAGAAGACAAGAGGCCCTAGGCCAAATCCCGGATCACTCCAACACTTCGAGGTAGTATAAATTATTGTTAGCAAGTCCAAGAAAGGAGGAAGAATTCATATATATCACTTCTTACATGCTCTTGGCCAGATCTTAATCATACTGCTGTAGCACAAAAGGAAGGTAGAAAATATTATTTTTGGTAGCTAAATATCCAACTAAAAATAGAGGATTCTCTTACAGTGGAGAGGGAGACAATGGATAATTGCGGTAAAACTTCTTTCTACAGAGGTTGAGTACAGGAGTAGGTCCAGCAAAGGAGAGTGAGAAGGAGCAGACAGTGAGGTAGGAGTAAAATCAGGCAATTGTGGCACCATGGAAGTTTAGAGGGAAAAAAAAATGTAAAAAGGAGATGAAGTGGGGCAGGCCTGTCAAAAGCTGTTGCAAGATTAAGTAAAATGAAGACAGAGCCTTTGGCTTTGACAAAAATGGAGATTATTGGTAATCTTAAGAGCCATTACAGAGGGAAAATGAGGACAAGAACCAGTTGGGATAGATTGAATAGAGTGGGATACGGCAAATTTCATCTTTTGAAAGGTGAGACTGTAAAGAGCAAAGAGAAGAATCAGCTAGAAGAGACAAAGATCATCTGGAGAATGTTTTGTTTTGCTTAGTTTAGTGAGGGGGGCTGTGAAGGGATATTACAATGACCTAATATAGAAGAAAATTTTGATCATTCATAATAGGGTAGCTCTAGTGGCATAGCCACACCTGGCATCAATGGGCACAGAAGGGGAGGAGCAGCAACCTCATGAATAATATAATTTACCATAGATTGCTTCTCAACTTAGTTAAATTTACCGTTTTAAAGTCGAAGATGATAGATAATGCATTATGTATCTGACTTATGCAATAAAGATAAGAGACAACTCCATCCAGCAAACACATTTTAAAAAAGTAGGTGGAGAGAGAGGAGTTTGGCTCTAAGTATAATGGCAAACACGTAGACAACATAGACTGAGTGCTAGGCATCGTTCTAAGTGCTTGACACTTATTCTCACATCTGTGTGATAGCCTACATTCAGAGATTTGGCAAATTAATATGCAGTTATATATTTTAAATTAAAATGTCAAGATATCCATATATTATTTTTTATTCTTTTTCACTTTTGCCAGTCTTGTTCACATTAGATAAAAGGTTTCTATTCTAACATGGAATAATATCATATATATGTGATCAGTGTGTGTTGTGTGCATGTGGTTGTCTCTGGGGCAGGGATTTCAACTCTTGTTAAAGTCTTTCTACAGTGTGTTAATATGCTTAACTAAGTAAATAATTTAACCTTTCTTTGGTGATTTGGGTTCTTGCAATATGTCTAGGACATTTTTGGCAATTTCTTCAGCAAACAGATTAAATATTAGCTTGTCTTCTCACCATTTGTCTCTTTCAGAATTAAGTTAAATTCTAAATAAAAATTTTAGTCATTTAGGGGAAGGGGCATTCAAATAGTTGTATTTAAGATCATTAGAATTATACTATCTGTGTTTGCCAGTATGTAAATGTCTGCTTCAGAATTATTTGATATATACTTAATTTTAGATCTTTAATCATATGGTAACCTTATAGTGTTTTCTATCTTTGGCAGGAATTAAAAGGTGGAAAAACTTATGCGAAGGTAAGTAAATGTTCTTTAACTCTTTTGAGATTTGTTATATCATTCGTTTCTGTTTGTAAGCTTAAAAATTAAGTAGTTTGCTCTTGTAATTGCCGTGCAAGTTGGCTATCTTTAAATAAAGCAACTTGGAGATTGAACAGTTGGAGCCAACAATAAACTATAGTCAGATTCTTTCTAAATGCCGATTATGGGATGTTCTTCTTAAGTTTCAGCTTCCCTGCTAGAAGACGACCTCTGGTTTGCATTAAGCAACAGCATCTGTTACTCCAGTCTCCCCTGGGAAGTATTTCTATTCCCACCAACCCCCAGTGGGGTAGGATCCTTCCTCTGTGTCCTCTTAGCACTCTGCGTATACATGATCTCGACTGTCTTTTATACTTCTACTAGCTATATGAAATTACTAATGAATGTGCTCAGCTTTTTGCCGAATAGAAGGATTTAGTAATTAGTAATACTATCGGAAACCCACATACCCCTCTGTGATGGCATCTCCATCAACCCAGTCATCTGAGCCAAGTACCGGGCACTAGTTCCAACCATCAAACCTACCTAACTCCCTAAAACCAACTGTTGCGTTGTCATTTAGGATGCTCTTTGCCACAAGTAACAGAAAACCCTCCTCACCTAGAGATTTTTTTTTTTTTTTTAATTTCACTGAACAAGGATGTGAGGCAGAGCTGCCCCAGGATTGGTTGAGCCACTGACTGGAGAATGTCATCAGGAACCCATGTTACTTTTCTCTTTCTGTTCTTTCATTCTCTGTGTGATGATTTTGTCCTTGGCTGGCTCCCCTCATAGCCAGTCACCAGGTGGGTTGGCTTCTTGAGTTTTTGTCAGCACATTCACATATAACAAAATCCAGCTGCTTCCCCATGTATGACTTTTTTGAGTGAGAATATTTTCCTATATGGCCCTCAAAGGATTTCCCTATATTTTTCATTGTTTGTAGCTGGATCATGTGCCTACTCCTAAACCAGTAATAGGCAATAGGAAATGGATTGCGGTGGTTAGCTTAGACTAATCACAATTCACTAATGAGCTAGAGGTTTGGTTACTTTCCTTATGCACGTGGATAAGCTAAAAATGGACACTTGAATGAAATCAGAGCTCTGCTAGCAAGAAATATCAGGGCACTGAATGGTTGGTAGGCAAACAACAGGGTGTGCTATGATGTCTCTTTGATGTCTCCCTTACAAAAAGTTCTTGAAACCATCCCTTCTCTCCATTCCCAAGGCCACTACCTTAGGTTGTGCCTTCATTATTTCTTATTTAAAACCTGCACTGGCCTCTTCTCCTTTGTTTTCTGCCTCTGTTGTCTCCCTCCAGTCCTTCATCTATGTTAGTGCCAGAAAAATGGTTCTAAAAGTTCAAACAGGATGATATCATTCCCTCACTTTTAGTCCTTCAGCAGCTTTCTATTACCTGTGAAGGAAAACGAAGTGCACAGTCTTTAACCAAGCATATTAGACCTATCTTGGTTTGCCTATCATCTGTGTACACATGCGTGCGCGCGCGCACACACACACACACACACTCACTCACTCACTCACTCACTCACTCACTCATCCTTAAGCTTCGTTAACAAAAGCCTCATCAACTTCCTAGAGCGAGACATGCTATTTTAGCCTCTTTGCCTTGTGACTTGACATTTTCCCTACCATGCCTTTGCTTCTCCCCTCTCTTGTCCTGTCAACTCACGTATCATTAAAAACTCAGCTCAGTCATCCCTCCCCACTGAGAAAATTATTTTCTCCCTCTTTCTTAGTTGTGCCTTCCTCTATCACAGCACTTATACTTTTTTATAGGAATTTATTTTCTGTTTTCTCTTATTAAACTATGAGCTCCTTGAGAATAGGAATGATTTACATTCCTAATGCCTATCATTACCTGGAATGTAGATGCTCAGAATTGTTTGGCAAGTGGAGTAATATTGGCCACAGATACCATTTTAAGAAGACAATTATATCAGTGGAGCCAAAGATAAGATCATAAAGAAATATGAACATTCTGGTACCTCACGGAAATGTCAGCTCTTCAAGACGGCCCTTATCTGTCCCATTCATCACTATTTTCCAGTGTCGAGAATAGGGCCTGGCACATAAAAGATGCTCTGACCTTCAGCCTAAAACATACCCCACCTGTTAGTATGCTTTCATCATGGGGACTGACCAGATTGTTTTTTAACTTGCATTATGCTTAGTGACACTGTAATACCAACAATCCAACAATGGATGGTGAGCCAATGGGCTGTTTTTTATTCAACAAATATGTATTAACTGCCTACCATGTGCCAGGCATTGTTCCTGGCACTATTCTAAATATCGAAGATGCAGCAGTAAACAAAACAAAAATCCCTGCCTTTGTGGAGCTTACATTATAACAGAGGGTTGAGGGAAGGGGACAGTATAAACTAAATAAATCAAAACGTGTATGTACATGATGTGATGATAACTACTAAGGAGAAAAATAAACCAGATAAGAGATAAAGAATGACAACTACAGGGTAGGGGAGAGAGGAGATGGGTCATGTCCTAAAGTTGTCAGGAAAGGCCCCTTTAGAGAGATGACATTCCAACTTAGACCTGAATAGAATGAAGAAGAAAGTGACAGGATCTCAGAGGGAAGCTGTCAGGTTAAAAAACAGTCATTGTTAAAGGTCTTGAGGTGATCTTGGCATTTTTAAGGAAAAGGACACTATGGCTAGAAGAATAAGGAGAGGGGAGGCAAAGAGATGAGGTGGCCAAGGACAGAGGGATCAGAAACAGTCAACACATTCAACTCTTTCAAGGAGTTTTGCAGTAAAGGGGAGCAGAAAAATAGACTGGAGAGAGATGTAGGGTGAGGTTTTGGTTTCTTTCGTTCATTAAGATGGAGAAAATCCAGCATGTCTGTGTGCTGATGGGACTGAGCCAGTAGAGAAGGGAAATTTTAGAATGCAAGAGAGAGGAAAGAATTACTGGAGCAATGAACTTGAGTAGGCAACAAGAGAGCAGTTGGCATTAGATCGGAGCACAGCCGGTTCACTTACAGTAAGTGGAAAGGCAAATATGTGGGCACAGATACAGTTAGGTAAATGGATGTGGCTGGCAATAAGAGCTTATGAAAGTTAAGTGCTGTTTTGATTGCTTTTATCTTCTGAGTGAAACAGGATGCAAGGCATCAGCACAAAGTACAGACGTGAAGGAGGCATTGGAGGTTTAAAGAGAAAGGATAATACATGAAATAGGGCATATGGATGATGTGTGATCACATAGCCACATGAGTCTTCACATGTTTATTTGGATATGGCTTTGCCCTGGACATACCCAGGCTTTTTGACTGATCTGTTGGACCCCTAAAAGAGGCAGTAATACCAGAGTAACCATGTGAAAATTAGGTAGATGTTACCTGCGACTTGATGTGTTCTGACTTATTGCATTTGGGGCTTGTGGCCCTTTAACTGTTCTCAAGGTCTTAACGTTCTTTCTTCTTGTACCAGTTAAAAGGTGCTAAAATAATGCTCCAGCCTACAATTAAATTCTTCATCTTGAATATCATTCATATGTGCCCCGTGTGTGTTCTAAAGTCTTAAAGCAACTTAAAATCACAGCAGTGTTTAAAATGGTCGGTACTTTTTATTATGTATTCAGGGAGATGTGCTTAATAATTGCAAATTTAAAACTTTTTGTTGTTGTTGTTAACAAAAGGCTCTCTATATACTTAGTCATGAAAAATAGACTTTGTTTAAAAAAAATATGTATTGGGGTTGACTTGTACCACTTGGAAACAAGAAATAAGGTTAAACAACATCAGTGGGAAGACTGGAGGGCAATCTTTGGTAGCTGCATAAAACGGGGACCAAACCTGGGTTGTAATGAGAGGGAGGAACAGGTCTGAGCTGAACTTCTGGATAGCAGCAGGGAGGGTTAGGGCTAGGCTCTGAGAAAGGATGGAAGTAAGGTTCATAAAGAGAGATCCTGCTTAAGGGTGATCAGCAAAATGAAGTTATGAGAGATGCTGAAGGAGAATGCACTCGTACCAAAGAAAAAATGTGATACCCTTAAATCATTCTAGTCTTTGGGTGGAGAGTGAGACCCTAATAACCTGCAATCATCTGTAGTCTCCAGTGGTTAATTAAGAATAGAGCCAGAACCAGACTAGGGATAAGAAAGTCTGATCAGCTTTCTATATGTATATGCAAATGATCATGATTGGTCTGCTAGTATTTCCTATAGTATGGCGTGAGTGCTACTGCTACTTGCAATGATTTTAGTTGTTTGATTTACTTCACTTCAGTTACGTATTTTAATGTATATAGAAAAAAATATATATTTAGCACATAAAATGCATGATTTCAAAGATCGTATTGCTTAAGACAAGAGCAGAATAGGTAATAATTTTTTTTACCAAAAGTGAGCCTATTTAAAGACACATTGAGTCTACAGCCAAGCCACCCTGAACAAGCCCGATCCTATCTGATCTCGGAAGCTAAGCAGGGTCGGGCCTGGTTAGAACTCAGATGGGAGACCACCTAAAAAGACGAGCTGCTGTGGACATAAAAAATAAAAAAATAAGAGATTGTAAGCTGACAAGGTCCTTGCAATCTGTGAGGTCAACCAAGGGTTGCCTCGCCTAAAAAAATAAATAAGTAAAATAAATAAAGACACATTAAGTAAATACACAGTCATTGTTCAAATGACAAAAATTACAAATGACTGAAATTTGAAATAACTCATCTAGAGCATGGGTTGAATGTTTATTTTAAGGAGAATATGATAGAAGCCTAGTAGATATTCTATTAATATAATTCTTTTTCTTTTCATAGCTGGGCTTTGCAGATCTAAACCTGGCAGAGTTTGCTGGGTCAGGAAATACCACTCGCCGCTGTTTACTGGAAGGCTATGATACCAAAAATACAAGACAAGATAATTCCATTCTTAAAGTAAGCACGTTTCAAGATTTACATGTCAACAAATGAAATTCTGTCTTTAAATAAACATAGGTATATACTGTCAAAGACAAGATGAGAATCCATTCTGAGATCATAAGCTGAGCACATCACTGAAATACTCATCACCTAGGGGAAAAAAAACTACCCAAATCACCAATGCAGTGAAAAGTAACAAGTGTTCACCTTCATGATCACGAGGTGTTTCTCTCTAGCTCTGTGCCCACCCGAGGAACAATGCACACAACCCCTACGGCATTAGGGCTCATTGGGAGGAGGGAGCATGATGAATGAATACCTTAAAATCTTTATAGCTCCCAGAAGGTCATTTCCAAAGCAGCTGCGGTGGCCACATAGAAGTCACTGAGTTCTCTTGTAATTAGTGAAGTGATGGATGGTACTCAGGGTGTCTGCCCTAAGTACCATCAGGAGCCACATGTTCTGATGACCACAGACAGAATAGGCGCTTCAGAGAGTTGGTGGGAATATGAAATGCGACCAGTTGAAGAAATATTTATATAGCATTTTGCATCGATTAAAACTCAATATATCAACCTTTTGCTATATTTTAGTTAGATTACCCCGTGATGGAAAGTTATCTAGTGATAAGAAAGAAAAATAATTCTGAACAAAAACTGGATGGTCAGAGTTAGTGGAGCAAAGAATTACCCTATACCTATAGTTTCTAACTTTATTTTTAGTAAATATTTAGCTCTGAAGATGTGAAAATGCATGGAGTGCTTATTATAGTCAGTCCATTCCTTGCACAAATTTAGCAGCTGTAAAGAAAGGAGGAATGTATTTGGGGAGGAGAGGAAGATGCTGAAAGAAGATAGGAAGGAAGTCAGAAAAAAATAACACGATGTAAACTTCTGTGCACATCATGTTGACCTGGTTTTATGGTGATCTCTATACACAAAGCATTTGCATATACTCTGAAATAGACAGGGTTGGGCATAGATTGTCTTTATTTTATAGATGAAGAAGCTGAGACTCAGAGGTTAAGTGTCTCACTAAAGTAGTGAGTGGCCGAGCTGAGACCAGAATGCATGTCTTCTGCTGCCTGGTCAGTGGTCTTTTCTTGTTCTCATGCTGTCTAAGCATCAGGCTCAGAAGAAACAGTTCATTCTTAGACTGATCCTGAACAAGCCCACTAAATTCAGTTTCTTTATATTTCTTATGTAAATATATAGATAATCTTTCTCTGAATTATGGTGTTTTTATTGGAAATTGAAATTACTTTTACATTTTAGACCCCCACATTCCTTCCGGCCAGCTCGTGCTATAGTCTCCTTCTGGCTCCCCACTCATCTTTTCACACCATTTCTCCTACTTGGTCCTATAAAAACCATACTTAACAGAGTAGGTCACACACCATTCAGCAGTCACTCTCTCCCTTCTGATCTCTGTCTTCTAGCCACTTAATTACCTTCTCTCGCCTACTCATTGATGACTTAGCTCCTAGCTCACGGTTTTTCTCTTCATCCCATCTGTCATCGTTTTTGGTGGCTTTACCATCTGCGTGAGTGATATATATTTCTGAACTGTCTTCTCTGTATTTTCTCTTCTTTTAGCTAATCTTATATGTGCCTAAGGCCTCTCAGTTCCTTAAGCTACGTATCTCCAGCCACTTTTTCCCTTTCTTCGTCTCAATTCCTACTCCTGTGGTCACACTCTCGACTTCCTTACCACTAGAAACTTTACCATCTCCAAAATCTCAATTTAAGGTATTTCTCCCTCCTATTACTGTTTATTACATTTCCACGTTTCTTACATTGATCTACTACTTACTTAGCTATCCTTAACCTTACCACTTTCTCACTCTCTCTCAGCCTCTGCTTGCTTTTACTTTCCTCTTTATCTAACTTAGATTCCATGGTCCATAATCGTCATAACCTTAAAAATACTCCTTTACCTCTGTCTCCCTCCATTGCTGTTCCTAAGTAATCCCCAACCCTAATCAGACTTGAGTATCCTCCCCAGGTCTGCATCCTAGCTGTCGAACATTGGTGCCGAAGCTCACACGAGCAGGTCTAGCTGGCATTACTGCAGCCTGGCCCACTGCCATCAAACAGTCATACTCTACTTCCTCTGTAAGTTTCCTTTCCCAGTTTCCTAGCTATTCTGTTTCATACGTTCTTTTTCCTCATGTCTCCACCTACCAGTCTTGCTCTCAGCTAATGGTCTTGCTTTATCCTTTATTAAGAAAATAGAAGCCATTAAATTCTAATTCCCTCATTTTCGCATCACAGAATTTACAAGTCTTCCTGTCTCTCCAGCCCTATTATCCTTTTTGCCTCCAGTTGCAACAAATGAACTGCCCCTCTTCCTGTCAGAAGTCAGTCCTTCCTCTTAGGTTCTAGAATCCAAAGCTTGTCTATCAAGAGTTTTGTCCCTTGGATGATCCCTTCTCCTAATCATCTCCTTGTAATGAACCATCCTCATTAGCTCTGGCAACTTCTCGTCTCCTCCAGCCACTGTCCCACTTCTCTGTTCTACTTCCCTGCACAATTCTTTAAGAGTTGCATGTGCTATCTCCATCTCCTTCCAGAAACATTCAAGATATTCAAGAGCGCTGTTCCAATGGAGTTGGAAACCAGATTATAGAGTTCTGTGAAAGAAGAGGCCTTGAGAAAACCAGCACAACAGGGATAGGTCTAGCGTTTGATAAATTTAGCACTTAAAGAGAAAGAGAATAGTAGTGGAGGCACCGGAATGAAGAGATAAGAATGGAACGAGGAGGTAGAAGAATACATGTCAGCCATTAGTGGAAAATAGGCAGAATTCTTCATTAAGATTATATGAGTTTTAGAATTATGTAGTCCTAGGTTCAGATTTTAGCTCCGTTCTTTACTATCTACTTGATCTTGGAAATGTCACTTAATCTCCTGAACTTAAAATGAAAGTATCAATCTCTTATAGGAGTTTTGGAGAGTAAATAAAATAATCCATATAAAACACTTAGCTTATGCCTGGCACATAATAAGTTCTCACTTCGTGACAGTTGCTTATGTTGTTACTGCCGTTATCATCACTGTTCCCAGAAGGGTCCTCTGGCTGATTCTTAAAAGACACTAAGCAACTGGTGAACAGCAGTATTTCAGAAAATATTAGCAAAGCTTGAAATTCTGATATAAAGGTGGAGCAAAGGTGAGAAGCATTCGACTCTACAGGCCATCAGCAGGCACCCCTTAAAGAGACAGCATGGCGAGTTGGAGAGCAACCTCCTAAACTCTTAACACCACTGGGAGGAGAGCCATAAACTCCACCAGCACAGCGCACCCCCCAGGACTGCTGCTGCCGAAGCTCGCACTCTGTTTCCATCTTCTCCACTCTGATTCTTGCAGTTGCAGAATTTTGGATGTTAATGATGATTTTTAATCTGGCTGTGTAATGCAGCAATTTAATATTGGATAGAATCCAATTTAGCAGTCATTTAATTTAATGCTTTCTAAATAGGAAGTACTGGACTAGGTGCTCTGAAGGATGTGTGGATTAGTAGATCGTGGCTTCTCCTCTCGAGAGAGCTTTCATAATCATGAAATTTTTTTTCTTACATTTAGGTTTTGATCAGTATGCAGCTGATGTCTGGTGACCCATGTTTTAAAACGTAAGTTGCTGCTCAATGAGAGTTATTTATCCGAAAGTGTAATAGTGGTTTCTTTGTTTAAATTTTCACATTCATATTTTGTAATGTTTATGGGCTATTACCGTGAGGGAGCAGCTCTTCTGCTGGGCGACCGGCCCTTACAGAAGTTACCACCTGCTGCCAAGCGGGCACTCCACACCCTAAGTTATAAGCTATCGGTCTTTTATCATCTTTGGGTTTTGGGTGAAATTATACAAATTAAAATTTTTAATTTTCCTTAATAAATACCTATTAAGTGCACAAAATATTGTGTACTTGGCCCTATTCTAGACACTACAGAAACAGCAGGGGAAAAAAAACAGATACGGTCCCTGACTTCTTGGAGCTTATATTTGAAAACAAACAACAAAAACGAACAAGTAAATATATAATATAAAGATGGCAATAAGTGCTTTGGAGAAAAATGAAGCAAGGCCAGATGGCCATGGCGGGAGAAGTGTTGCTCTTTTATGTGGAGTGCTCGGGGGAGTCCTCCCTAGTGAGGGTGGTGTTAGAGGAGAGAGCTGAAGGAGGTGGGGAGCATTTGAGGTAGAGGTAACAAGTTAGCTCCCCCGGTACCCTGGGGGATGGGTGTTTTGGCACATTCATGTAACTGCCAGGAAACCAGTATGAGTGGAACAGAGGGAATGAGAGGGGAGGGTCATAGAGATGAGACCAGCTGATAGTTTTGTAGGCCATTATAATAATAGTCTCATAGGCCACTTATAATCTGAGTGAGATAAAAAAGGTACTGGAGGGTTTAGAGCAAAGGAGTAAAATCTGACTTAACGGCTGCTATGTAGGGAACAGATAATTTGTGGAAGCAACAAAGTGGGCAAGAGCAGAAATGGTAGATGAGTTAGGCAGCTATTTTAGGAATCTAAGATTTTGGGCCAGAGAAACTACAAGAATGGTTTTTCCATGTATCAAAATGAGAGAGCCTACAAGAGGAACAGGTTGGGAGCTTGGGTGTTGGACATGTTAAGTTTAAGATCTCTGTGTAACATCCATATCACGTAGGCACTTAGATTTGTTACTACAGGGTTCAGTGGGAGCCCAGGTTGGAGATACAGATTTGAAAATCATGACATCATCAGTACACAGATACTATTTAAAGCCATGAGATTTGATTAAGTGACCTAGAGAGAGTAAGTATAAATTTTCTTAAAAGACCACAAACTGAGGTATGGGACACTCCAGCATGTTAGAGGCCGAGCAACCAGTGAAGTAGGAGGAAGGGACCAAAGGAGATCACCCCTGAAAACCAAGTGAAGAACAGGTTTCAAAAAGGAGGGAGTAATGGACTGCGTCACACACTAGGGAAATAGGTCACAGGAAGTGGGGACTGAGGAGTGACCTTGGGGTTTTGCAGTGTAGACATCGTCGGTGACTTTGACAAACGCTTTGGTGGGATGCTCTTAGATCACAGCCTCATTTGAGGAGGTTAAGGAGGGTTTCAGAGGAGAAAAATTAGAGACAGTGAGTATGGTGGTCCCCACCTTACCCACAGTTCTCCTTCCGCGGTTTTAGTTATCTGCCGTCAACCGTGGTCCAAAAATAGTAAATGGAAAATTCCAGGAACAAACAATTGGTAAGTTTTAAATTGTTCAGCAATCTGAGTAGCGTGATGGAATCTCGCTCCATCCCTCTCTGTCCCTCCTCGGATATGAATCCAGCTTTGTCCAGCATATCCACGCTGCATACACTACCCACCCATTAGGCACTTAGTAGCCATCTTGGTTATCAGGTCCACTGTCATGGTGTCACAGTGCTTGATTCAAGTAACTGATTTTATTGTTATAATCGTTCTATTTTTATTAGTTATTGTTGTTAATCTCTTACTGTACCTAATCTAAAACTATCATAGGTATGTATATATTGGAAAAAACATAGTATATACAGGCTCCAATACTATCTACCGTGTTTCAGGCCTCCACCAGGGGTCTTGGAATGTGTCCCCTGCAGACCAGAGGGGACTGCCATATTAGTAGATGAACAGTCTAACAGACAGGGGAAATGTGGTGCAGAAAAAGGATGATGCTAGAACAATGGCCTTGGATTGTTGAGGGGGATAAAGGCAGAGACTATGGCTACAGATGCAGATATATGAGAAGTGGAAGCATATATAAGTTATTTTAAAATTGTTCCTGGTTTCTTAGTGAAATAGGAAACAAGGTGATCACTGAAGAGTGAAGATAGGAAAGATGGAGGTGGTGGTTTGAGGAGGGAGGAAAAGATGTGTGAAAGCCTGCTCTGAGAGTGAACTGAATGGAAGAAAGCAGCAGGATGGCCTGTCAGCAGTCGTGAAGACGATAATTAAACGTGGAAGTTAATTAGATACTATCTAAATATCTGAGAAAGATATATTTAGAAAAGTAAACATTTCTTCCCTATGCATCGACTTCTGTAATAGCTGTAATAGCAACATCTATATAGTCTCTACTTATGTTCTGTTTTGTCAAGATGAAAATATGTATTTTAGTATAAATCAACCGTTAATTAAAACTATGCATTTTCTTCTAACTTAGCCTTCCTATACTGTCTTCACTCAGACCATAATTTCCTGGTACCTTTATTTCCTGCTTTCTTGGGACTAAATAATTTTTGCTATGCTATTTTTGATTTCTTAGGTGACACTTTATTTTTCTAATGGAATCAGTTTAGGGTGAAATGAGAAAATGAGCAGCAAAACTTAATAGAAGAAAATGAATTTATCATTTCTTCCCATGAACTTTTTATGCGTTGTCCCTTACTGACCCTTGCTCTGCCATTTTATCTCTCTACTTCTGAAATCCATATACTGAAAAGCTCAAAAATAGATCACTTTATGTTCTACGTTATCTCCACAAATACAATTCTGACAATCCAGAGTTTCTATTTATAGAGAAAAACTTTTATAACTTACTAGAATCAATAGTCCTTCCCTCATCCCAAGATACATACAGGTTTTTCTCAGGAGAATCAAACCCCCAATATTTTTCTCTTTTCTTTGACTATCTGAAATTATGCAACTGTCTGTGGAAAGAGGCAGCTCTGACACATCCACACACTTGTACATACTGAGTATGGTTGAATAGGAAAATATTTGAACTACTGATGTAAAAATTATTTTTATCAAGTTATATTTCAATATATATCAAATATGTAAAATCACAGTACTTTTAGAGCTGAAGAGAATATTGGAAGTTGTCTAGTTTGGTGATTTTTTTTTTCCAGAATATTTAGCCACAAAATTTTTTTCTCACATGTATTATGAATCCCAGTATATAACATTTTTCTCTTGGGAGGCAAAAAGGTATAGTACCTATTACCTCTGAAAGTCCTTGAGGGAGCTTCACGAAGCCAGTTCAAAAAGCGTCGGTATAATCCAAGTTCTCATTTTACAGATGAGGAAACTAAGGCACAGAGCAATCAAGCGACTCAACTGTGTATTTGTCTGTAAGACATATTTAAACAACTGCTAGAGAGGTTCATTCTATTTGCTTTGTCTGTCTTTAAATTTTTCACAATATAAAGTGTTTAAAAATTTACTAGGGAAACTAATAAGAGTGAAGCCAATTCTTAGCATTCTCAGATTAAATTCCAGTTTGATATTTTATGAACAGAATATCTGTGACATAGATTGTATGGTTTCGGTTTTCTGAAACAAATTTTGTACTCTAAGGCCAGTATTTATGAAGAAGGCAGCTGGTAAGTCAGCCTCTTACCACCTGCCCTAAACTCCATTCTGTAGTTCTTTACTACTCATCAAATATCCACCAACTGTTGTAAAAGAGTGAAACTAACCCCAAGAAGAAAGGCAACCACTAGTGCTGATGAAGAAAAAGGGCATTTTGAGAGAAAGATTACATACCTTGCTGGCATTTGATTATTTGGCGATAAAGCAGACGTAGGGATGTTGTGACTCCCTTGCTAGCTAGGGCTCTGCTACATTCATATTCCTGCAGGAAGGATGTTGCCACGTGTCAACATGATTTAACGAATATTACTGTCTCCCAATTTGAATCTCGAAACAACTCTGTGAAGTATTATCCATATTTTTAAGTAAGAACATTGAGACTCAGAGGTTAAAGAACTAATTTGTCCTGGGTACCAGGATTTACTCATTCATTCAGTACTCGTGCCTTGATTGGCTATCATGTGCTAACATTTACCAAAATGAATAAGACCAGCTGCTGCTCTGAAGGATTCACAGTTTACGTGGGAAACGGACACCCAACTTTCCCTTGAAAGCCAGGAAAGTCTTCACTGAGGGGGTGACACTGGGCTAAGTTTTAAAGGATGAATAGGCAATTACTAAGCAGAGGAGACATTCCAGAAAGAGAAAACAGCCTGCACAAATGTATGCCGTTGTTGTGGGGCACGGTATATTTACAGTCCACCACATAGGTAGAATTGTCATTTGAGGGGGTCATTTTTCATATACTCTTAACATTTCCATGAAATTAAAGTAAAATAATCCATTTCTTTTCTGTAACTGAGCTATCTTAAACCATTTCTGATAAGGGATATAAAAACATTTTCAGAACAAAAGGGGCAGTAGAATAAAAGCTGGCATATGATAGACACTTAGTGATTATTTATTCAACACAACTGAGTTGTTTAGGGAGACGTAGGAGAGCTGCCAAGGCCCAGCTAAGATTTTAGATTCTAAATTCGCCTTAAAAACAGTCCCCATGGTTGATGAACTTTCTCCATAATGCTTAGTTGCCCAGTATTTGAGCACTTAGCGCAGATGGCCAAAATTATCAAGGTTTGTGGTTCTTCAGGTTTTTGAGACTGCGGAACAAGGGCTGCCAACCTGAAAGTATTGCTAACGTGTTGTGCCCGTGGAGTCAGGCTGGACAGTAAAGAGTGGAGCCAGAGGGAGACTGGCAGGGAGAAGAGGGGAGGCCTCGGGCCGGGAGCTCTGAAGGGTCAGAGAACGGGCCTAGGGTGGCAGGATGGGGATGCTGTACTCAGGCATCTGTCAAAGGAAAACCAAAGGGACTGGCAGTGAAAGATAAGAGTTCAGACAGGCGGGCACGAGCCACCACCAGGGATCGACTGTGACCATAGACTCCATTCTTTATAAGTGTATTTCTTTTACATATTAGTTTTTCTTATAGAAATTAAATGCAGGGCTTTTTTTTTTTTCCCCACCACGCTGTTTTACATTATAGCGGGTCCTCAAATAACATTGTTTCATTATAACATTGATAGCAATTTAATTCTTATTTACATCAGTTAGCCTACGGTAAAACTGATTTTGTTTGTACTATGTTTCATTTAAAGTTAGACAGACTAGCTAAGAAACTCTTGTAGTTAGTCATACAGGAAAAGGTACAAAGACCAAACTAATTAGTGGAGGTGGAGAAAAGATGATGACTAGGAAAAATATTAGAGAATCTGAAATTTAGAGTTGATTGGATATGGAGAAATATTCATAAGAAGGAGACAGGCAATATCTAGGGTTCTACTTTTGGTGATTTCATGGATCGTGATGGCATTCATAAAGGTAAAGAATGCAAGAAGAAAACATTTGGGGAAAGAAGATAAGTTTAGTTGGGGATATACTGACTTTGATTTACTTACAGGACAAATACTTGAAAATTTCTCAATAGGACATTGAATTTTAAAAATTAGGAGATCCTGGGACATGAATAATCTATAAATAAAATAAGTTTAATGGCAGTCTTAAATGTCCATCCTCAAGGACCTGAATCAGCTCCATGATTTCTTCGACCACCTACGTATTTTATTTCAGATCACAAGACACAGTCTCTAGGAAAATGTAGTTTTCCCCTGGAAGATCAACCTCAAAAGGTTAGGGTTGTTTTATTTAAAAAAAAAAATTCCTGCTAGAACTCAAAACTCGCCCCTCCCTTTTTTCACAGCTTCTCTGTGGAGATAGGAGCCTTGAATTAGCCAATGAAAATATATCCATCACCTTCTTCCAGAGAATCCAGGCCAAAAAGCAAATCTAAACAACTGGGGCTCTTTGTCAGCTCTCCTGGGGGCAGGTGGACTGTTTACAGAGAAGAAGGTAGACAAGGAAACCATGGATGCTATTTAGTGGAGCCAACAAGAGCGCTTAAACACTGAGGCAGGAGGCAGGAGGTACGAGATGTCCTCTCCAGCGTCAGATACAGAAGGGCTTGGAGCCACTTCCTCCACCTCAAAGGTGGCTCCCTGCCTGGTCTGAGTTGTCGACAGTGGAAGCACCTGCCACTGACAGTGCCGGGAACACACCGGCAGAGTCCCGCCCTCTTTTCCAGACACCCTTTCTGGTCTCACATTTTTTGTTGTATAAAAAACCTTCCCCGTTCATGAATTTTATTCAAGTTTTCAGGATACTAATAATTATTTGTTGATTTTTATTACTTTCATCCTCAAAGAGGTAACATTACAGGCACCTTACTAAGGCTGCGTACTGACTATACAACCTATCTCTAACAGTATCTCAGACTTTCAGATTTACCCATAAACCAAGTTGTGATCCTTAGAAATGTTTATTTACAGGCCTCCTTCTACATCAATGTCTATACCAATTGCTGGTGAATCTGAATCTCTGGAAGAAGATAGAAAAGGTGGAGAGACTCTCAAAATCCATCTTGGAATAGCAGGTACAGATGTGTAGTTTACTGGTTTTTTAATTTGTGAGAAACAGTGCTATCTGATGTCCTAAAAGAGTCCCATAGTTTCCTTCAAAATTCTAAAAATAAATAAATAAATTCTGTGGGTACATGACACTATAGTGGGCCAATGAGTATCAGCGGAGTTTTAATTATGCGGTTTTTGGTTAAGTCGACGTTTCATTTTGTCTAAGTGTTACGCTCCGACTGTTTAAAAGCTAAATGTTGCAGGGACACACCCCCCCACCACCGTGTGCTTCTACTCCCCACAGATAGAACAGGGTACTGCAAAATTAGGATCAGTGAATCCTTCGTGTACTTTACCTTTTCCAATTAGCTGGTTCTCTTCAGTATTTAAATATTCTGAATTCTTTCTCTTATTGAAAGAAAAAAAAAAAACACGGAAACTCACTAGTTAGCCCCACACCCTTCTCTGTCTACTGCTCTTCCACTGGCTCTTGCTCTCCTTCCCCCTCCCTCTTCCTCACACTCTTCATAGCCAGACTTCCAGAAGAGCACACTGCCCGTTATTCCTAAACATATGTGCAGTCTGGCTCCATCTTCTTTCACCTTCCTCTTAAATAATGATGTTCCACAGGGTTTAGTCCCCTTTGCTCAACCTCCCTGGTCAGTGTCATCTGTGCCCCTGGACGTCACTGTCACGTAAATGTGAATGCGATCCTGTCCCTGTGAGTTCAGTGCTTTCAGTTACACATCTGTGTTGCCTGCACACCTGCCTCCTGAACTCCAGGTACATGCTTCCAGATGCTGTTCAGAAAGGTCCACTGCACGCCGCACGTCACACTGAAATCCGGCCACGTGGCTGTCTCCTCAGCTGGTCCTTCATGACCAGGTCTTATTTGTCTCTGTGCCTCCAGCATAACACCAGGGACACAATAGAAGTTTAATGAACAGCGAAGGGCTGTCCTCAGGTGTCTCATTCCACATACCCATCACGAGGCTTCCTAACTCTTCCTCCTGTATTTTCTAGCTCAGTGCTCCTGGCACACACTGCTGCTTAGTAATTGAGTCCTGTCATTGTGCCTGCTAAACATCTTTCACTCTCACCTGGATTATTGTGAAAACCTTCATTCCTTCACCTCATTTATCCCGCTGCCAAGGTGATCTTCCCAAAACGTAGATCTGGTCATGTCACACACTTGCTTAAAGCCATGGAATTCTTTCCTTCTTTCGACTCATAGACGGTCCTTCATTAGCACCCACTCATCTCTTCCCTTCGGTCACCTACAGCACTATCCTATATGCCAACTTTACCAAACGATTTGCTTTTCTACAAATAAGCATGCTGTTCCCGACGCCTTTCCCCACCTTACCAGGCTGAGGAATTCCCAGACATCGTTACAGACCTGGAGTTTACCTCCTCTGTGAGGTCTTTCCTCCGTTAGCACTAGTCCTCTGAAGCTCCTACTAGCTTCTTTTTGGTGTTTGTACATATTTTAAAACTTGCCGCACTGGATTATAACTGCTTCTACTTCTAAACTCTGAGCATATATTTTGTGAGAATTTATAAGAATACACCTGACTAATTTTTATTAGAAATACCGGACAACAAAAACTGCAATAGTTTTATTTAAGGTAGAGTGCTGTTAAATCTTATGAAAAACACTATAGTTCTTCAGTAAACTAAGTATTTAAATTTTTTTATTTCCTTGCAATACATTTGTGTACATTGTACTGATTTTACATTTGTGTACATTGTACTGATTTAAATGGATCTCTTTCATCTACGGCCACTCTGAACATAGCCGATCTCATCTGATCTCAGAAGCTAGGCAGGGTCGGGCCTGGTTAGTACTTGGATGGGAGGCCACGTAGGAATACCAGGTGCTGTAGGCTTTAAAACTAATAATAAATAAATTGATCTCTTTCACTTTGTAACTTATTTTTCTTGATAATGAATTTGGCAGTTTAGAAAATATGCAGGTTGTATACAAATCGGTCATTGACTTGTTGGCCATAATATTAACAATATGTTATGCCACATCACAGATCTTTCAGCAAAGAGTGCCTCTGTTCCAGATGAACTTGGTGCCTGTGGACATTCTAGAACATCAAGCTATGCAAGCCAGCAGTCAAAAGTATCAGGTAAAGTCTAAAAGTGAAGTTGAATTCCTCGGGCATTTATTGCCTTACGGGGACTTGAATTTGCTAAGGTGTGGGAGAATGTTTGATTGCAGCGTGTTTGATATTAGTATTATATCCAAAGTGATTTTCTCTGACAGGGTATAGTAGCTGCCACTCCCGGTCATCTAGTTTCTCTGAGCTCTGCCATAGGAGAAATACCTCAGTAGGAAGTACATCAACAGGAATTGAAAGTATTCTAGAGCCATGTGATGAAACTGAGCAAAAAGTATCCGAACCAAATCTTGATACGGCTGATAAAGAAGACACAGTTTCAGAAACACTCAACAGGTATCCTTTTGGTCTCCATTTAAATGGGGAAGGGAAAAAAACTTTGTTTTTATAGCATAATAAAAAGGAGGAAAAATATTTTAATTATTTTCAAAGATGCCCAGTGAAACAAGATTCTGTAGAATCTCAGCTGAAGCGAGTTGATGACACCAGAGTGGATGCAGATGATATTGTGGAGAAAATATTACAAAGTCAAGACTTCAGCCTGGATTCCAGTGCAGAAGGTGTGTGGCTAACCATTAAGCGTATACAGGTTTATATGTAATCCAAGTTCGTATAACGGAGGGGTCAGCAGCAAAGAGGCAGTACCTCATGATACTGACACTTGCACGTTTGTAAAATAAATTTCATGCCCATAGAAGTCAGAAGATAACTTCGCAGCTTGTTTATTTCTAAGAATGGATTTTAATTTGGAAAAGAATTAACTTTAAAAAGATCACTTTTAAACAAAGCTTTTATTGTATTCTTTAATTTTGTGTCAGTGTCTACCCTGTTTATATACCTTACAATAGTATCTACATCTGCTTTGTCCTAACTAGCCATTAGTATTTCAAGTCACTATTGTAATTTGGAAGATTGGGTGATGATCTTGAAATAATAGTGAATAACAGAATCTTTCGTTCCCTTAGCATTTTCACTGAAACTGAACATTTTAAATACCACCAACTTGAAAGGTATAATTATTCATACTGGTGTGAATAGAGAGCAGTTAACAATAGACTTGGTTTCGTTATATGACTGGTTGTAAAGAGAAATAATTAAACTGTACTGGTGGAAATTTGTAGGAAGAGCTGTCTTCTTTACTCAGTTTTAAGAAAAATAGCTTTAGTAAAGTTGATGAGAAATAACTATTGGATATCTTTTAAATTGCCTATTTAAAACATGTATGTAGTTTTTGAAGTTTTATTTATTTAATGAAACTAAAATGTAAAATGTGAATTTATTACAATGTGGGTATTATTTGGCAATAATCTAATAATTGTACCTACAACAAATATTTTAAACGTGCATTACAGAAGAAGGACTGCGGTTATTTGTGGGTCCTGGGGGAAGTACAACCTTTGGGAGTCATCATCTTCCAAATAGGTATGTGATCCAAATAGTATCTTATTAAGATAAAGAATAGACTGACTTTTTCTTTTAAATGCTCCTGAGTGGAAGATGAAAGTTACAAAGTTTGTATTAGACTGAGGCTAGAAAACACAAATCTTAGTAGTTCCGTGGAAGAATTGTAGCTCTTCATGTAGCTCTTAGTTTTCCTTATTCTGAGTATGTTTGAAATTATATTTTATGTTTATTTGTTGATTTTCTTAAATGTATTTTTAGAATGTATTACTAGAGGACCAGTAGAACATTGGGCAGGGTGCACTATTTTAGAAAAGAGTTCTTAGTCTGATATTTTGGAAAGAGCAAGGTAGGTTACATTTCACCAGTGGTCTTGTCTGTTGTGAACAACTGAGCAGCGTGCGCTGGTGTTAACCTTCCTCGTGCTCTCCTTTTCTCCACCCACCAGAGTCTAACATACATAGTAAGAAGCTTTCGGAAAACGAAACATCACTTAGGTAGTTATTCAGATACAGATGAAGAAAAAGCACCTGCCAAACTTACCATTCTGATTACCACCCAGTACTGCAGCAAATGACCGTGAGCACCTTAGGAATTCTGGCCAGTCCACTGCTTCCCCACAGCCTGATCCCTTTCCTCCTGTCCTCTGTCCTCCTGTCCTCCTGTGTGTCCCTGGTACTCAGTACTTTCGTGTAATATTTATGTAGAGTTCCAGCACAACTACAGAGTAAGTCAGAGTTATAGCGGGAAGGAGCCCCTTTTGGTCCAAGACAGTTATTTTATTTTATTTTATTTTCTCTAATGTGCAAAACCTGAAAGAATTTTTAATTCTTTTCTTCTGCCAGTACTCATTTTGTTGAGTACCTCCTATGTGTTCAGTACATTGCAGGGCCCAAAGGATGCAAAGGATACAGCAAAAGCTCACATCAACAACTACAATGAGAAGTGATGGGTAGGTAAGAGAGGTTAGGTAATAGAAAGAGGCTATAAGGGAATAGTTTATTTGGAAAAAGTTTTATAGAGGACATAACACAATTTAAACCTTTCATAACTTTCATTGACTTATCTACTCATGAAATTCATTAACTATTTATTGGGCCCATTTGTTGGTAAGGATGCTAAGAGGAAAGACCCAGCCCTTGCCCTCTGCTAGCTTATGGTCCAGCACATGAGGCTGGCAAACTACATTCCAAGAGTCCAGTGGGTCCACTGCCTGTGTGAGCAAATAAAGTTTAATTGAAGTACAAGCGCACCTGTTTATGTATTGTCCATGGCTGCTCTGTGCTGCAGTAGCAGAGTTGAGTAGTACGACAGAGACCATACGGCCCTCCAAGCCTCAGATGTTTATTACCGGACCTTTTCTTTCCAGGATGTGAGACACAGAAATAAACTAAAGTTTATAATAGTATTATAAGTACTATAATATAGAGAAGTAAAGGAAACTCTGAGAACAGAGATGGGACCTCACTCAGACAGAAAACTTCCTGGAAGAGTTGACACCTGAAGAGAGACTTTGGATGAATAAAAGATCAGGTGGTTCATTACTGGCTAGTTATGAGGAAGACAAATATTTCTGGTAGTAGCGATAAGCGGGAATTTATGGGCACAGTAATTATATAATAATATAATTATAAATAACACTTATTGAGCATTTATTAGTTTTATGTCAGGCACCATATATATGTTTCATTCAGTTCTTACATTAACTCTTTTACTACAACATACTATTATTAATTTTTAAAAAGAAGAAACAAAAATACAAAGAGATTAAGGTAATTTAACCAAGGCCTTTAAACTAGTGAGTAGAAAACCAAGATTCAAATTCATTGCTCTTTGAGTCCAAAGCCAATTTATTGTACTTAACCGTTATACCTTACTGGCTCATGACTAATAAAACCTACTTAGACAATTGCCAATAAACAGGTCTTTCTAAGGAGAAGGGCATGTGAAATGAGTTGTGGGACATGAGGTTGGCAAGTATCTTGAAGCCAAGTTGTAAATGGCCTCTGTCACCGTAACAAAATGTTTACCCTTATCCTTTGTACATTGGGGAACCATTGGTCATTCATTGGCAGGGATGTGACTTATCAGATTGGCATTTAAAAAAAGTAATTGGCCATAATTTGGAGGGTAAATTGGAATTAGGAGCAACAAGTAGCAGGGAACGGTTAGAAAAAGTAACATTTATGAGGATAATTACATATATAGTAGACAGAAAGTGTTTTTGAATTAAGAGACTTGGGTTCACATCCTAGCAGACCACTTTTGGTGCAAATTATTTAACTTCTATTGAACTTAACCTCTGTTGGAAAATGTGATCATTTTGTCTTAAAGGATACGTGACATGATATACTCAGTAAATCCTAGCTATCATTAATGTAGGTAGAGGAACAGCAAAAGATACAGTTCCAACCAAAAGGAACCAAAATAGTAAATGCTCAAAAGCGTAGGCTCTCAGGAGACTGCTCAGGGTCAAGTCAGAGCTCTTCCCTTGTTGACTTTACTGATGGTATTAATCTCTGTACACCTTATTTTCCTCACCTGTGAAATGGGAGTGATAAGTAACCTAACTCAGGATTTTTGTGAAGATTAAGTTAGATAATTTATGTAAAGTATTTAACACGGTGCCTGGCACACAGAAAGCTCTCAATATATGCTAACTATCTGTGTTGTTATTCAGAGGAAAGATAATTTCTGGTTAACAGAAAATCTAGAACCTAAGATAAAAAGGCATTTATGTCAGTTAAGAATTCTGGCTCCCACGCCCTTCCTAAATGGATGTGAGAATAATCACCCAATACGTGAAAGCCTAAAATGATTAATAGGGGTTGAAGTAGGTGATTAACATTACATGCCACAGAAAGATGGAGGAATGTCAGAGGCAATGTGTCATAGTGAAAAGAGAATGGGCCATGGAGTCAGACATGGGTTTGCTTCCAGGCTTAGCCATAATGACGCAGCTTAGCCGTGACCTCTCGCTTGCTACCAAAAAGACAACTGCATCACTGGGATTGACAACACAGGCTCTGGAGTGGGCAGCCTGGGTGTAGTCCCAGGCTTCACAACTTTCAGCTATGTGTCTTTGGTTAAGTTACTTCTCTCTGCCTCAGTTTCCTCACCTGTAAAATAGCAATGGTAATAGAACCCACCTCGTAAGAATTATACAGTTTAAATTAAATAAGGTAAGACATGTAAATGCTTAGAACAGAATCTGGCCTGTAGTAAACACTCAACTACTTTATATACACTAACTAATGGTCTATCTCAAAGCATTATTATCGAGATTAAGCTATTTGAACTACCCAGCACAATACTTGTATACATAGTCTCTCCATAAGTAGTGGGTATTCATCAGAGAAGCTAATGTGTTAGCATTAGCTCTATTCTTTGAGATAAACTGGCAGCACAAGATGAAACCAGAATCATTTTACCTAGGGCACAGAAGAAGCACAAGAACCATAGTTCAGAAAAGGAACCCATGAGAATGAAGAGAACAGAACGACAAGCGATAACAGACTTGGGGAGGAATATTACTATAATCTCATTTTAAGTCTGGTGGACACAGCCTGGCCAGCTCAGGGTTGCTTACAGAGCCCTGCATGCACCTCCTCGCTTGCATTTAATTTCTGACAAGTTGTCTGTTTTCATTTCTATACATATTCCTCTATGATTTATCTTTCATCTCTGGCTGCTTTTCTGTCATTTTCTTTATTACTATTTTTTAGAAGTTTTCATCAAATTTGAGCCATTATTCTCCTCCCCTTCTAATATCCTGACCTATAACTTCTAGACCCCAGCATCCCTGAGCTGACTCCCACTCAGATCACCTACCTAGCTGTGTTTGAGGTCTCCCCGCCTGCACTACAGCCTGGGAGGGTCCTGAAGGGAACAGCTTCAGGCAGCAAGTGGGGGCAGTTGTTTGGCTTTCTTCATTTATTTCCCTTCTCTTAGGACCTGTCCTGTGCTGCCTGTTGTCAATGTGTGAAAACCGTCATTTCACATATTCTATCCAATTTTCTTTTTTTTTTTAATCGAAGAAATTATTTAAATTTAGGGTCCTGAAGAACAGCTTCAGGCAGCAAGTGGGGGCAGTTGTTTGGCTTTCTTCATTTATTTCCCTTCTCTTAGGACCTGTCCTGTGCTGCCTGTTGTCAATGTGTGAAAACCATCATTTCACATAGTCTATCCAATTTTTTCTTTTTTTTTTAATCGAAGAAATTATTTAAATTTTTAAAACCACCCC